TCAGCCAGTTCTGTAAAAGGAGAGTTCAGATCCTTTGAAGCGTGTTTCTTTGGAAAAGTAAAGACCAAATAACACCTTACCGGTTGTAGGTGGCGCCCAGTGGTGGCGCCGCAGGTTAGAGGACTGAATTCACGGGTGACATCTGGTAACAAGGCTGGCTCAACAGTGGAGTTCTGATGGCTTAAAATGGATTTAATGTCAAAAGTTTCAGCACTTCATACAAACACTGTTTCCCTTTCACACATTTTGAATTTCTCTGTTATCTAAATATTAAGTAAGTTTATTTAGCACCGATCACAGATTAAATAACAAAGTGCTTTGTTGATTAAGACAAAAAGTCAAAAGAATAGAAGATCATAAAGCAAATGAATAAAGGTCACAAAACAAAAGAAACCATAAAACAAACTGTTTAAGACAAATTACGGTAATACATATATAATAAAGAGTATAGACGTCTAATTATTAGCAGTCATCTGCAGCCCATCCTGTTCAGGGTGAACAGAAAGGAAAGGATCAGGTTTGCTTGCTGGTTGGGCTGCCTAATGTTGGGGAAGAAAATCATGATTATTTAAAGAGCAAGTCACCCCCTGCCAGATTCTTACTCAACTCCCACTTCCTGTTTGAAAAATGCAACAAATGCTGTTGCCTAGCAGACCGAGCGGGCGGAGCTGCTAACAAATACACACACTCACGACATTGTGACATCATACTATACCATCTAACATCATAGTGTACCTCTTGGCCAATAGCGATGGCAGATTTAAATTCAAATGCAGTGCTGAGTTTTTGCCTGACGACGGTGCATCGCTGACAGTTTTAGGCAGAATATTTAAATTTTAACTAAGATGCACTAAAGTGCCGAGTTATTGACTACATTTGTCTACAGCATAATCAGTCACTCGTTTATTTAGTTTATCAGCAAAAAAAATGTTGATTTGGAGTGACTTGCTCTTTAACACAATTATGTAACAAGTTTAGAAACACAATCTAGACCTGGCATGACCTGATCCTTGGAGGGGTCATAGAGAAAAGTGAAGGTATATTCTTTGACACGTCAAACATCAACGGTGTGTTTTGCCTTTGTTTTACCATCTGTGGTTTCTGGTGTAATAACATCACAAGACACCTCATCATGTATCTGTCAGAAAAGGAGGTTTGCCATTCAGATCTCTGCATCAGATCAGATGTGACAAAATAATCAGAATAATTGTTGTAGGTTGATTTTTGTTTTTGAGACTGTTTGGATCCAACATTAAAACACAGATTTGGTTAATTGCACAGCCATAAAGGTTAAGGTGCCGCAGGCTGAAATGTTTTTTTTTCCAACACAGACAAATCTGAAGATTCATCATGGAAATGTGTGAAACCGAAAAACGCCAGCAGTTATATAAACACAGTAAAACATCTGTGGTTCAGGGTCATGTTTTCCGTTCTGCTAGGAACCACCCACTTCAGTTCAACCATATCAGAGAAGTTCAATAGTAAATTATCCGATTACTCCTCCTGCAACTCCAGAGTGATTACATAGGAGTATGCTAGTGGGCCATAAATTCTCTTGATTTAAATCACACCAAATTGTTTGTTTATTCTCGGTGATTAGCGTTGACCTAGATTCACTGTAAAAACAAGAACTTCTAGGTTTCTTGCTAAACCATCAAAAGCATTTGTAAACAAGTTGCTTTCTGTGTTGATATAAAAGCTCAAATGTATTTATTGATAAAACTCGGAGACAGATGGAGTGTTTTTGTCGTCTGGCTGCTGCTGCACGCCGACGGCTCATCTATCAGACGCTGGTTCTGTACGGTCGCTCAGAGAGCTACTCTAACAGACTCTTGCATGATTAATCAAACACAGACACTTTCCTACAGGGACACAATGAGGCAATTTATAGTTCATGCCATCTGTTACCATGACAGCACACCTGCCCTTAATACAGGAGAGCACCCACCATGCAGACAAATGTAAAAAATATATGTAATTCTGCCACATTCTACCCACAAAAACATTTATACTCTGCTTCTGATCTTGTTTTTTTTTTAACGTGGTAATTTCTTTATGTGGTGCATTCTTCGAAAACCCTTTAGTATGAGAACCGAGTGCAGCAGGCTGCTCTGAATCCAGTTTAGGTGTTTGAATCAAGAAAAGAAGCCTCCAGGATGTTTAATATTTCCCACCGGACCATTTTCTCTCCTGTTGTTGTCAAACATCAAGAGTGAGACTCGGTGAGCCCAGACGGCTGATGATCTTTACAAAGGTAATGATGATTTTCATAGGAGAGTTGTTGGGAATGGGAGTTTGAAATGAGTTTTGAGTTTTGTGCTCTGACACATGAGGCAGAAGGCTGATCAGAAAAACTAAGGTAAAAGATATTTTTTCCTTGTATTTCTGTGTAAAAGGGACACATTTTTTCATGTGTCTTACCTGAAGTAGATGTTTTCCTGGACAGCCCTGGGGGAGAAATTAGGTTTATGCTCAACAGGACAGAAGATGGAAGGGCTAGTCCAAACAAATCCAAAACATCTTTAGTCTTGCTTTGGTGTGATACACTTCTAGTGAAACTAAACATGTAAACAGCCACAGAAGTCCATCTAAAAACATGGGAATGTAAAAAATTATTAAGACATCAAAAAGGAGACACAACTTTTTAAAGAAGCAACAATTGTTCCACGTTCTAAGGTGTGACTCACTGAATCACCCATCTTTACTCTTGAACGTCTTGACTGGTAGAAGCTAACTGTTAGCATTAGCAACTTCACCATGGGGCAGAAGCTCTTTCAGGCTTGTGTTATTTGTGGAGATAAAACATCATTGTTGCAAGTCAGAGGTAGAGTTGCATTGCTGTTATCCAATCAGAGTCGTGAGATGTCCAAATATCAGGGAAACAAGACTCCAAATTCTGCTGTCTGAAGCTCAGCTGTGATATGGCTCACTTCTAGTTCCTGGAAATGGTGCCCTGGTGTTTCCCCCCCCCCCCCCCCCCCCCCCCCCCCCCCGAGTGCAACTTACAGCAGTGGTTCCCAACCTTTTTCCCAAGGGACCCCTTTTTTACCAGTAAAATTTTTGATGACCCCCTCCCATTCTCTCTTCCAGTACAAACTGTATTAAGAAATGATAAAATTATTCAAGCCCATTTTAATATGCTTTGATTCAATAGATAACAGTAATAGTAGGCTCCAGTACAGAACAAAGTCATTAACAAAACCAAACAGAGCATAATGTGCTTGACAGTTTGTATTACTTTTCTGAACACATTGTTTCTTGTAAACACTGATAAATCAATCATTCCTTTCAATAAACGTTTGACACATAAAAATACACTGAGCAAAATGTGCTTAAATGTGTATATTACTGTTTATACTAGATTATTTACTGTAAAGGCTGTGATTAATCAACCAGTCCTATCTTTAATGAACTTTTGACACTTGAAAATAAAACAGTGAGCTGAGCAAAATGTTCTTAAAAGTGTGTTACTCTTTCTGTACTAATTATTTCCTGTCTTAATATCAGTAAACTTTTCACTCATGAAAAAAATGTGAGCAAAATGTAGGCTATAAACAAGTAATAAATGAAGTTTTAACCCCTTAAAGTGGAGAGGTCCTGGCAACCCACTGAGAGGCTTTGGCGCCCCCTTGTGGGGGTCGGGACCCCCAGATTAGGAACCACTGACTTACAGGGCATTCATTCCTAGTAGAGACCACCACAAATGCACCGATTAAACGAGTGGCCACGCCCACCCATTTGCTTATTGGCATGTTAAGGGGTGAGGAGCCTGTTCATCTGGAAGTGGTTCAATTAGAGCTGCTGCTCTTCCTGTCTGGAGAGGTGAGAGATGGATCTATGCTAATTTCCCCATTTGTGACATCACAAATGTGTACATTTTGAAACAGTTTGATTTACGTATATTACTGCAAAAACCAAAAACTGACAGTAATGAATGGATGGAGTTTATTCATGCTTGGAGTGTTTATAGAGGCAGTGGAAACCCACAAGATGGAATTTGGGCGTTATTTTTGACCAATCAGTGTCTCTTGAAGGTCACTCAAAAACGTTGGTCCGAAACTGTTTTCATCACTTAAAAAATATCTCCAAACTGAAGGTTGGTGTCAAAACATGAACTTGAAATGGTTCTCCATGCTTTCATCTCCTCCCGTCTAGATTACTGTAACACACTCTTCACATGTTTTAACAAAAAAGCCCTTGACCGCCTTCAGTTGGTCCAGAACTCTGCAGCGAGGCTCCTAACTGGAGCAAACAGAAGAACAACTGTTAAAGCCTTAAGCTCCAACCCGAGCCCTCAGGTCCATTCACCAGAACCTTCTAGAATTCCAAAGACCAGATATAAAAGTCGAGGTGATCGCTCCTTCCAGACTGTTGCACCCAAACTTTGGAATGATCTTCCTTTATCCTTACGCAGCATTGACGGTCTGGACACCTTTCAAAAAACAGCTGAAGACCCTTTTATTTAAAGCTGATTTTACCTAAATCTTTTTTCTTATTTTTAACTCAAATTTTTAATCTTTCATCTGTTTATGAAATGTTATAATTTTATGAGAAAAAAAATTGTCTGACACTATTTTATTTCTGTTTTGAGATCATTTTGATTTAATGACTTTGTTTTATTTTGATCTATGTGAAGCACTTTGTGATTCTATGTCTGTGATAAGTGCTATATTAATAACATGTACTTACTTACTAAACATGGCAGCACAAATAGATGCAACAGGGTTTACATAATAACTCCTTTAACTGCCATGAAACTAGCTGTTAGCGTTTACTTCGTACAGGAGTAATGAGCTATTTATCCAAACTGAGGCCATCCAGGAAGCAATCTACAGTCTGGGTTACACAGACAAAGAGTTCAAAATGACTGAAATTCCTTAAATGGTTATTCCTAACTCGTTAACTGGTGATTATTTATCAGTAGTTATTAAAATCTCAACTTGATCAATAAGCAGTTTTGTTTGAAAGTGTTAATGATTGAATGGTTTTGGTCCACACAGAGCATGGTTATAACGGAGAGACCTGGATGTCGACGGCAAGTGGAGCTGACCCATACGTGGTGCTCCCGCATCCCGATGGCAGACGGCTGGACCTGAGTCACCTGGTTTCCTTGGAGACTGACAGCGATCGGGAGGAGGGCAGGGAGGAAACCATCGTGTACCTTTGAACATGGATACGTTTCAGAATAAGAACTCGACATGACAGTTTGCTAAAAGCTTGGTTTTGACCTCCTTTTTGTGTTACTTTTATTACTTGTTGCTTTTTATACACATATAACATAGGGTTACTATAAATAGACTGGGGAGGAGAGAGATGGAGCCAGACTATGTCTCACATATGTCATGCATCTTAGCTGGAGGCACCACGGGGTGTTTAGTGCCTCTTCTTTCTCAGTGTGTGTGTGTGTGCGCGTGCGTAACTGTCTCAGCTCCTTCCTTCCTCAGTTTGCTCCTTTCTGTCTTTTCCGGGTCCTTCACGAGTCGTCCCTTGGGCTCCAGATTTATTGCCATTAAGAAGAAAAAAGATAAGAACTTTGGCCGTACTTTTCAAAAGTGAAGCATCTCTCCAGTGGCTGGTTATTTTGGCGCTGGAGTACGATGCCCTCTATTATTTATCAGACTGATGCTTGCCATAGGCTGGGCGGTGTTTTGGAGCACCAAGAGTTAGAATGGTGATGGGCAACTGCAGTGCATCCGAACCTTATCCCTTTTATTTAAGCACATTTGAGTTTGAAACTGCAGAAATGTGCAGTTATTAAGGAGTTGTGCGAAAAGGAAACACGAATATACATCATTTAATACATTAAGTTCGTAATTTAAGGCCTTTCAAGCCATTTTATAGTGTTTCTTTGTATAAATTTGTAATAATTACTACCTTATCTGCTGGAGATGCATGTTACATTTTGAGAGACTGTCATCTTTTAGAACCAGCGTAGGCAGATACAATCAAAGTTTTCCAGCACAAAATACGTTAAAATCACCACAAAAACCCCACAATCAATGTGTTGTAATATTTAATGCATGATAAGTGCCTACTGGTATGCAGCAAGCAGTTTGACAGCATGTTTTAATAAGGTACAATCTAACGACAGTCCATCCATCCATTTCCTATACCCCTGATATACACAGCGTCGCGGGGGGCTGGTGCCTATCTCCGGCAGTTTCGGGGGAAACAGGCAGGGTACATCCTGGACAGGTCACCACAGCCAATCAGATTCAGCCAGGGTGACATGTGACAAGTCCCAGCCACCGTGTGTGTACCAGATGCTGGTTTGTAATGTTTTTTGACTTGATTAAGAAATAAATAAAATAAAAATGGGCACAGCTATGATTTATGCTAGGTAGCTGCATTCAGACTAACCTTTAGCTTGTCAGTCCTGTTGGGGGTCAGACGGTAACTATTTATAATTCTGAGACCGAAACAATCTTCAAAATAACCAAAGTTGGATTTAAGATGGACTTTTGGGACAAATAATCAAACTTATGTTGAAAAAGGTTTTAATAAATATCTAGTGTTTTTTTATATTTATTGTGTTGTATGAACAACATCATCCCCTTTAGGATTGTTTATTACAAGCATGTAGTTTCCTACATTTTACAGTTTAAACCACACCAAGCCCTGGCTTTTCTTGCACCTGTACTCTGTTCCAAATGCTACAGTGATTATCTAGCAGGAGTTTTAGAGTATTTATCAGAAAGTACTTCAGTGCTTCAAGTCTGGTAGAGCTGCAGATATTTTACTTTATTTGAGCAAAGTCTAACTAAGCCTAACAGCGTAAACATCCAAGTTGCCTTATTTGTCATCGTTGTGCTTGATGCTGCACGATTGCACTTGAATACTCATGTTGTATTTTTGCATCTAATCTGTCTGAAGTCTTTTCCCTGTAAACAAATCTGTGCCAATGCTTTACATGTGTCCTCGTGTTTTACATGAACTATAAAAGATGATTGGATTGAATTACTTTTGTAGTTTCCTACGAGGACAGTAGAGCAGTGGCAGCATTGTGTTTGTGTTTTAGTACCATGTAAATACTGTATGTTTATGCTTTTATTTATTTATTAATTCCAACACATTTTAAGTTCTGTTGTGTTTTATAAAAGGTTGCATTGTACATAGATGAATTCGTGTAAACAGACGAAGAGTTGTGTCTTCTTGTGAGTTTGTGTTAAACATAATGAACTATTATAAAAACGATCTTTGTGAGCTCAAAATAACGTGTTTTTTTTTAATGTTTGCCCTTCTGTTTTATTGCAGCAAACTTAAACAATTTGTTGTTAAACACATGATTTAGCATGGCTGCAAATACCAACGCAGTTTTATGTCAGTGTGCAAACAGATGTGTGAGTGTGAGCGACCTGGTCACATGCCAGCAGCGACAGGTGGCAGAGCAGGTGCTCGAATGTCAGTGATGTGCTGCTGCCCAGCTGGAACCACATCAGCACAGGAGCATGCCACATTCCTGGAGCTGTGCATCCTTTTACTATAAATCACATTTTTATTGGTATAAATAATCTGGATGACTAATTTCAGGCTAAAAATGATCATTGTTGTGGCAAATCAGTGTTTTTGTAGCCATTACCCTTTTAGGTAGAGCAGAAACCTGGAATCAGTTTTCTCCTGAATATGCTCCTCATTATTTCACACCGCAGCTTATAAAACACCAACGTCCTTCCTTTTCTGCTGCCAGAATCTGATTAGGTGGAGCTCAACTTAAAGGTATATTATGTAGGAATTTTACAAATGTCAAATGTCTCTATCAAGTTAGATCTGGGGGTGCCCAATCCTGGTCCTAGAGGGCCAGTATCCAGAAGGTTTTGTGGTTTCTCTGCTCCAGCACACTTGATTCGGAGGTTGAATCACCTGTGCAGCAGCTCACAAAGCTCTGCAACAGCCTGCTAATCACCCGCAGATTGAAATCAGGTGTGCTAAAGCAGAGTTTAAACTAAAACCTGCTGGACACCGGCCCTCCAGGACCAGGATTGGGCACCCCTGAGTTAGAGGGTTACAGAAAAACGTATAATTCTCAACTGGCTGGGGGTTCCTTAGTTTTCTCCCTTCAAAAACGAGGTACGTAATCTTGGTTTACTATCTGGGAGACAGTGGGATTACCAGAGCTGCACCGAAGACACACCATGCCAGCAAATCAGCTCAATACTGCTGCTGCAGTGTCTTATGAACGCACTGTGGCGACGTGGTGATGCGGGAATTTTACGGCATTCTTGTCCCAAAACAATTCCCTAATTCATTAATTGTCTGCTTCATGATCACGTGATGTGTGACACACACGGGTGAAAATCTATTTTAAAGGACTGATGTTTCCTCTCACGGTGCACGAGCTCGATCTGGCATTGTCTTCTAAAAGAAGCTTGTAATCCGACACCATCCAGCAAAACGCAACAGTGTATTGTAAAGTTCCCAGAAACAGGAGTGACCCAGATGTTACTTCTAGTAACCGTATGAATCCACAGCGTCCTTTTGCTTTACTCTAATATCAAGTAAAGAAGGCCAGAGGAAGAGAGCTGAGTCAGACGGTGAAGCTCTCGATTTACAGGTCGAGCTACGTTCCTACCCTCACCTATGGTCATGAGCTTTGGGTAGTGACCCAAAGAATGGGATCATGGATACAAGCGGCCGAAATGAGTTTTCTCTGCAGAGTGGCTGGGCTCTCCCTTAGAGATACGGTGAGAAACTTAGTCATCCGGGAGGGGCTAAGATTAGATTTGCTGCTCCTCCACATCGAGAGGAGCCAGTTGAGGTGGCTCGTGCACCTCCTGAACGCCTCCCTGGTGAGGTTTTCTGGGCACGTCCAATTGGGAGGAGGCCCAAAGGTAGACCCAGGACATGCTGGAGGGACTATGTCTCTCACCTGGCCAGGTGTAACGTCCAGCAATGGTCAGTTTAGGTACAGTCTGACCTTTCAACATCTATTCAACATCTGGTCAGAAAGGAGACACAACACTGCATGTGTTCCCTTTAAATGAGCCTGCCTTCATACCAGCTCACAGACTCTGCAAGTCTGAAAGATAAACAATAACTTTCTTTCCCAAGGTCCCGTCTGTCTGCCTCCACAGAAGGAACAACTCCAGCTCGAATAAGTTACGAAAATCAAGAATGATTTCTTAAATCAATATGAACTTCTTCCATGACTCATAATCTAGATAACCATTAAAAAACATTTGTTTATTACTACTTATAATTATAGTATAATGAAATGCTTCGTTAATCTGTGCTCACTGAATGGATGTTCTGTTATGTTTATGTCTACTAGAACCTGCCATGTATTTCATGTTTTGACGACGAGGTCCTCACACCTGCACTCACACAATAACAAGTATGGTTAAGTTAAACCCTTACACACATAGTATTAAACCAGTCAGAACATCCTGTATCAAGAAGGCGTGTTTCTGAGTTGTCTTGGTAACATCTCTCAAACTTGTCAGCCTCTGATTGGCTGTGCAAATCATAACATCAAAACCTTAAAACTGGGTCATCCTGAGTGATTCTAAAGTTCTAGAGAATCACTCAGATCGGCCATCGGTAGCAAAACCTCTTTAACCATCAAACATTTTGACACGTCGTCAAAATCTTTTTGCACCTGCAAAGCTGATGAGCAAACAGTTCCTGCAGAAACAAAGCTGATATTGTTAGACTCCTTAAGAGTCCGCCAGACGCACGGTTCCATCCAGCTGTTGTGGCCCGAGACATCTCTGGGCCGAAGAGTCGGTACCACGGTATTCTACAGCCCTCCGGTGCCAGAGGTCAGCCGACCCCTGCAACTTTCGGATCCACCAAGAGGGTCTCCAAAACGGGTGAAGTAGACATGACAGATTGCGTCTGATGTGCTTCTGATGATAACAACTTTATAGCTTAGAGCAAACCAAATTCTTTTCACCAGAACTCAGCTTACATTGATAAGGAAGCTCTGACTGACATCGCATTCACACATAGGTTCCTTCATCACATTTAGTTACAGCCACTCACAGTAAATGCTTAGGTAATTAGTCATGTTTTAATTGTTTGCAAAATAAATTCCTACTTTTATAAACCTAACTCTTTCTTGAAATAACACGAAGTGTGGTTGATCACTGAAAAAGCAAAGAACCTAGATCTTCTGAATTAAATCCTAGAATCTTTTGAATAATTACAATAAAGACCTCGCAGGTTAATATTTTATATTTATATAGAATATTACATCTTCCTGGTCATAACAAATAAAAATAATCGATTTGCCTACGCCACACACGAAACGCCTTGGGATTCCCCCGCAAGAGCTGGTCCAAGTGGCTGGGGAGAGGGAAGTCTGGGCCTCTTGACTTTGGCTTCTGCCCCCGGGGCCCGACTCTGGATAAGCGGAAGAAAATGGATGGATGGATGGACGGATGGATAAATGGAAGGCCAGAGGTTAATGTTGAGCTGACAATGCTAAAGGTGAAGTAGAAGCAAAAAGGAAAACTCACTAAAAATTGTTTCTCTTTGACTCTACTCTCTTGTCTAGCCACAGTAAAATCAGATTCAGAGGAATTTTATCAACCCTTTGGGAAGGTTCCTCAGTTTCCAGCGGCATATTTGCAGAAAAAGGAAAAAACCTTTTCAGCAAGAAAAATATGGAAAAAGAAACATAATAAAATAAAATGAAAGAAAAAGAAACATTTCACAACAAAATATATTTAAGAAAGAGAACAAAATGGACATTACATGCTCTATGTGTCTGTTGGGGAAGTAACATAACAAAACAATTATACCAAAGAGCCGTTACTACTGCACCATATTACCTTGTACCACCAAAAATGCCACAAATACAAAAGTTTCAGAATGTGATTCTTAAATCCTGCTGATTTATTTACTAAAGTTTGTTTTGAGTGATTTAAAAGATGGAAATATAGTGTCTGCGTGCAAAAAAATACTCCAATATGCACTTGCAACACCTTCAAGAATGCCGATGGTACTAACTTCCTGCAGAACCTTCGAGATGCACCACAGATAAGAAATAATTTGTTCAGTGGAATCATTTAATATCTCAAAATATCTCATTTTTCCCAGCTAAAATGCAACCATGCAATCAATCGTTAAACGATTTGTCTGTGCAAAAAAATTATTGTCATTTTTCATTTGTCAATTTTTCCACCAATAATGCAACAAACTAAAACCCACCTCGCTGTTACACTTTATTTCATGTATAGCATTATGGATCTTGCAGCGGTGCACCTAAAAAACAAACTCTTCAAAACATCAAATGTTTTGGGAGCAGAGAACTGATGAGAGAATGCTGTGATGTTCTACACCCCCAGGCTGTTCACGTCTCCTGGGATTGCTTTGGATCAAAGATTTAAACAGCAATCAAATATAGAGTGAAGCCGACTTTAATGTCAATGTAACAGAAGATCTGAGCACTTTTTTCAATTAATTTCATTGGTTGATATTTATCTTGTGTATCTAATACATTAGAATTCCTACTGTAAACTTGTGCCGCCTTTCCGTGCATTTGTATCGTTCAGCCCTCATTTGACTGGTAACCCATCAAGCATCCATAATACTTATTACCTCTGCAGTCCAAATGGAGCGCTGCCTCACTTCCATCAGCACTCATTGAACTTGGCATGACATCCATCCCCTAATTAGCATTAATCTTCACATTAAAGACTGTTCTGCACCTCTTATAGTTGAAAAGAGAACATTTGAGATGAAAACAGTAATGATGCATGTTAGTGTGTGTATGCATGCCCTGGAGGCATGTCGATGTAGTTAGCTGTCTGTTCTATGCTCAATCGGTGTCATCACTCATTTGGCTAAATGTGCTTGTTCCATCGTGTAAATGTCGAGCAGCTGTCTAGCAACTAAACTGGCAGTTTTTATTATTCTCTGACAGATTTTCATCTCCATGAGTTATAATAAAATATCAGATTTAAACCCCTTTGCTAACCGATTACAGAGAAACCCCACAAGCATCTTGTCTGTGCTCCCCAACTCCTTAAACACTGTTAAATGGTTATTATCTCTTTAGCATTTGCCTCCCTTGGTGTTTCTGTGTTTGGATTCAATAATTAAAAGTTGCTCCCAGCTCATTACGTGGCACAGAATTCCCAGTATGTGGACTCTATGTCAGTCTCTCCCTTAGCTGGTTTTTAATGACCTCGGCAGAGGGTAACCAATAACACCAAAGGAAAAACCGATAACGGGAGAAACAAATTAACGCTGACTCATCTGCCAGGGTGAAACGCGTCGCCACAGCCTCTCCCAGGGGGCAAGTGTAATGATTTCTGCAGGAACACAGAATAAACCTGCCCAGCTCAAATATAAATAACAGCCATTAAAGTGTTTCCCAGCGAGAGATACTTTTATGAGAAACCTGAACAATACACAGAATATATATACACAGGTTATTAGATTCCTGTTGGGGTGAATTATAGACAGGCTGGGCATGATGTATGAACAGAATGCTTATCAGCATGGCTGGAGGATGCACATAGACTTTATGGTTAGCTTAATTTCAGAGCTCTTATGGGTTTCTATATAAAAATGAGGCGTGACCAAGTCACTGCTTTGCAAGTCACAAGTCTTTCCAGTCAAGTCTCGAGTCAAGTCCAAGTCGAGTCCAAAGTCAATGAATTGGAAATCCAAGTCAAGTTCAAGTCCTTAACTTTGAATTTTCAAGTCATAATCAGGTCATCTGTCCAACTTCTATTTATTGACAATGATAATAAATAAATTCCAGAAATAAAGCTTCTTAAAGCTTCAATTATTTGCTCAAAAAAGCAGGAAGTGCAACTGAAAT